AACCTAACTGAAGTGTTAGCACTAGAGACCATGCTGGAAAAGATATACTATATATTTTGAAAATAGTAAAGGCTCAAATCACCTTGATGGTGCGGTGATATAATATGCAAGGCCACCAACAGGAATGGATTGACCATTTGAATATTCAGATTCCTTCCACTTGCCCAAGAGATTCACAAAGAAGTTTCCACTGTACCTTCTGTACAGTAACTGCAGAGGGATACATGATTAGATGCATCATATTAAAAAGCAACAGACATAGACAGTCGTATGTATACAAAGTAAACTCCAGTACCTGAGAGATGAAGTAAAGATTTGTAACAAGAGCGGAATGTAGAATGATGGGCATGTTAGAGGTGTAGAAGAGCTTGATAGGATATGATCCCTGCTGTCCACGGGCATTCTTTGACCTCACAGGCAAAACCACTCGGAACCCTTGGAAGTAGATAACGATTAGAAAAATCAAGACTGTAGCAAGCAGATTTGTCACATTTGGAAGATTCTGTCGATAAAAGGCTTCTCTGAGAGCACGAATCTTGTTATCTTTAGTTAAAAGATTATGGACAAATGCAATAACGGCTCCTTCAAACTCGGCACCTCTTCCAGAGTTAATTGTAGTGGGGCTAAATGCCTTCCAGATTATGTTTTCACTGCATATCAATCAAATCTCTTTAGAGTGTTAACAGTTGTAATTCTACCAATGATTTCACCATGGAACAGCACTCAGCTACATAATATCAGTAGTAAAACCATAAGAATCCTTGGGGAACTTTTTTTTTAGTAGGTTAAGAAAGCAAAGATAAGAGTCAAACACAACAAATGCTCACCAGATGTTTGTTGCAATGAAAAGGGAAATTCCAGAACCCAGACCATATCCTTTCTGAAGAAGTTCATCCAGACACATGACAATGATAGCAGCAAAGCAAAGCTGAAGGATGATGAGAATGGCATTTCCAACTCCAAGTTGGCCAACAGTACCATACATCCCAGAGAGAACATAGGCAACTGCCTCGCCAATGGCTATCAAGATACCCAACAATTTTTGCGCACCATTTCTAGAAAGAAAAAGTACTCATCATACATAATTATACATCTTGGACACTAAAGAAGCAATTTGCATCATAAGGAAAATAAAAAAGCAACCTGACTGCTTAGCAAAACCTCATAGAGGTAAAGCATGAACACAGGTGCATGCATGAGTAATGCACATGATGCACACCAAAAGAAGCTCTCCTGCATGGAGAAAATATTACATGCTCCACGAGACTTATCATAACATCATTTTAAAGCACAACCCTGAAGGGCAAGAATCAAGCTGCTATCATCAGCAAAGTTTCTGATTCTGTCAACCAATAACCTTAAAAGTCTAATGGCACTCATGAAGCCATCAAATATTGAGCAACAGAGAGCCAACAAAAAAGTAATCAATCTTCATTCGGTGACAATAGTTACCTGAATAATATAAAAAAATAGAAATAATGTTCACGCCCTTAATAGATACTTACAAAAGGGCACGATCTTCACGGACATTGTTGTCCACTTCAATGATTTTTGAACCAGCCAGAAGTTGCATCACCAGTCCAGACGTCACAATGGGAGTGATTCCAAGTTCCATGACAGTCCCACGACTTGAAGCGAGAATAACACGCATCCAATAGAATGGATCAGCACCAGTTGTAGAATGTATGCCATACAGTGGGAGCTGGCTACAAACCAAGAAAATGAAAAGAGAGATCACGGTGTATATGACCTTCTCTCGGAAGGGAACTTTCCTGTCAGCACTCTGAACTTCAGGCAGGAATGAAAGAAAGGGTCGTACAAGATGAAGCACTCTAAATCCACTCCCCATCTTGTTTTATCCAACTGTAAAAGAGAAAAACATATATTAGTTAAAACAGAACAATACTGTCAAACATCTCAAAGTAGAACAGTATCTAACAAGAAACAATGGAGAGGTAAAACACTACACACCAGCAAATTTTATTCTATTCGGGAAATGAAGAGAGAGATTCAAATACCGTTGACAAAACTTTTAATATACATAAAAACTCCTTTTTGATTACTCATTCTCGTATCCATAAAAAAAACAAATTGCCCCTTTCAATTTTATTTGACAGACACAGCAGTTTCACAGTTGAAATGAACATCAAAACAGAAATTCCATAAACAAGCATACATCAGATAGCTGTATGAGCAAGAAGCTCCAAAATCCTCAACTAAATTAAAGGAGTTGCTCCTCTCCAATAGTTTCCAACCAAAAATCTTCAATGAGCTCATAAAAAACTTCACCTAAACAAGCGGTATCAAACGATCTAAAGGTTCCACTTTTAACTGGCCCTAAATTCCAAACAGATGCACGGGAATAAACTACAGATTTGGAAAGTACTGGAAGGGATCTAAACTCAGAAAATTGCTTCAAATCCTCATTTCCTTAAAACAACTAATCCTTAAACTAGCAAAAACCTTCCAATTTTCATTGAAATTTACAATAAAAATATTAAAAAAACAGAAAAAAAAATTCCACTATACACAGAAGACCCTAATCAATATCCATCAGCAAAATTAGATCTTTAAAAGAACAAACAAATCACGAGTAAAATATCATTAATAAAGCTAACAGAAAACAAAGTGAAGCAAAAAATATGAACTGGTCATCATCAACAACAACAACAAAGGTCTATGAACAGAAATAAGACTAACCATACGCACTGGAAATGCAGGCTCCGTGAAACTGTGCTGGCGGGGTTTTAAGGATGGTTCCGTGAACGGCTCCGTTATTGTTGTTTAAATACACACACGACGTCGAGCGAATGAGGATAAGACGCGTGGACTGTGAGAGTGACGTGGATAGGGAGGCGGCAAGTTTGACCGGGATAACTGTCAAATTTGTCAAAGGGAAGTATTGTAGTACTTGGCACGTTCATTCATTTTGGGATATTATATTTATAATCCCTAATTTGGACGTTTTTGTTAAGAAATCTGATACACGTAAATGTATTGTACCTTTATTATAGATTTTTTACTCAAATATCATAAAATAATTAATATAAAAAATCTATACAAAGTTTATAAAAAAAATAAAGAAATATGCAGAGTGAGTATGTGTTAAAGATATAATTATATGATTTAAGTAATGACGACGAGACATATATTAGTTTTATATTCAATTATTCAATAAATATATGTTTAAAATGTTATATTTAAATACTTAAAAATCTCATATATCTAAACAACGAGAAATTTGAAAAGTTTATTGAAATTTAAGTATTTAAATATAATCTTTTGAAACATATATTTATTGAATGATTAAAAATAAAACTAATACACTAATCATCATTGTCGCTTGATTTATGCTTGTATAAATGTATATTTTTGACATGCACTATACATATTTTTTTATAGAAATAACTAATTTTATTCGAAATAGAAAATATCTCAAATTATAATAAAGATTTATAATCAAAAGCATAAATTAAGCACATAATTAAAAAGATTTAATATAATCATTGAAACAAAACTAATAACTTAATATCACATAAGGACCATACAAGAAAAAATTAAATCTAACCAATAAAATCAAACAAAGATAATTAAAAACAGATTTGATCGCAACAGCAAACAAACCACAAAAATGATCAAGCTATTGAAAGACCATCGACAAACCGCAAAAGCAAACTTGAGTGACTTAAAAAAAAACTATTCACGAACGCAAATTGGATATCCAAATCCAATCTGAGAATCCAAAGTAAGAAAGATCAATAAGATATCAGATAAGCGCCGCGCCATATTAGTCAAATGTGACGATGTCAAATCCACTCTTAGGAAAAAAAGATTACTAAAAAGGGTCAAAGAACCGAAAAAAATACTAAATAGCATAAGAAAACGTGTTATAAAAATAGATAAAAACGTACAACACAGACAAATTTATTGAAAATATAAAAACAAAAGAAAATAAATATATGATATAGAAAAGAAAAAGATAATAAAGAGCATCGGTTGTCGGTAAGTAATATTAAAATTGACGCCATCGCCTATCAATAAAGACGAAAAAGAAAATGTATGAGCGACACACCAATGACACAAAACTATGCTTTTTTTTCTAAATTACTTTTAGGGTAAAATATAGTAATGGTCACTGAACTTTTCTAAAGCCTTCTTTTAGGTCCCCTAACTTTTAAAACTTGCAATATGATCCCTCAACATTTAGTCCGTTTGCAATATGGTCCCCCAACAGTTACGTTGGGGACCATATTGTAAACGGACTAAATGTTGAGGGACCATATTGCAAACAGACTAAATGTTGGGGGATTATATTGCAAGTTTTAAAAGTTGAGGGACCGAAATGAAAGCTTTAGAAAAGTTCAATGACCATTACTATACTTTACCCTTCATATTTTATTTAATTATTAAAACTTAATTTATTTTATTTTATTAAATTAATCTAATTTGACATGAATCAAATTAGGTATATATATAAAATATCTAACAAAGAACACTTCTTTCCTTAATTAATTAATGAATTGTATTAAGAACGTTCCAAAAGTTACCATTTACTATGAGTTGACTTGAACAAATGTTAACTCTCTTTTTTATTTCGAGAAATTGTTTGGATTTAACTTGAAGACGATTATAATCATATCAAAGTTCACTCTCAACATCATTGAGTGGTGGATCAATTTGTCTGAAACTTACTATTCTAAATTGAAAAGTTGTTCTTATCTTGACAATTCGTTTTAATTTATTTATCTATGATGAAAATAAATTTAAAAGATTTGTCCAGATAGGTGACACGAGGACAACCAATGATTTCAGTCAAAATTGACTATTCTCTCCAAATATCTCATGTAATTAACCTGGTTTTCCTCCCTGATTACTTGTTTGTATACCGGTATCATATTCCTACCTTTTTATTATTTTCATTTATTAATTTATATATACAGTTTATATTATTTTGTATAAAATTCCATTATTTATATGTTTCAGATGTCAAATATTCTTCCATCTTTGTTTTAGCGACAACAACATGAAAAAAAGTATTCAAGGTTCAATTCCAGATTAGAGAGCTATGGAGCAGCTTAGAATTTGCATTTCCTTGACAGTAATGTGGTGGCTGCTGGAAATGGCTGCTTCCGATCCACAGACCTATCTGCTCAACCAAGGGTGCAGTCGATTCAACGTGACTAGCTTTTCCGATTTCTCGAGAAACCTAAACAGAACGTTGACGGAGCTCCGAGGGCAGTTAGAGAACGGCATGTACTTCGCGGTGGCTCAAGAAGCAACGGGTTCGGACCCGGTCTACGCCATGGTGCAGTGCAGGAATTACATGTCTAGACGAGACTGTATCTCTTGCTTCACTACTCCTTCGTCGCAAATCCGAAGCTGCTCCGCCGCTAACGGTGCCCGTATCATCTACGACGGTTGCTTCCTCAGGTGTAAATTTGCTTTCTTTTAGCTACACTTACATGTTTAAATACCATCATATATTAATATATGCATGTATATTCGATGGTTACATAAAGTCATGAACCACTTAGACTAAACCTTGAAAGAATCATCCATATTTATGCGTGCTTTTCATTTTCGTTGAGGTACGAGAGCAACATGTTCTACCAGCAAAGCACACAAGAGGGACACCTTGGGAATTGCGGGAACCGCTCAGCATCGCAGCATACTATTTTCGAAACAACAGTGGGAAGGCTATTAGGGAATCTTGTAAGGGCGACGCCGAGGATCGATTCGTTCTTCGCCACGAGCAACGAGGAAGTGGCATGGTTGGTGTAAACGGCAATGTAACAGCGTACGGGGTGGCGCACTGCATGGAAACCATCGACGAGACTGGGTGCAAGGCATGCTTGGAAGTGGCTTTGGACAACATTCAAAGATGTCCGCCTGATTCAGATGGTCGAGCAGTTGACACGGGTTGTTTCCTAAGATACTCAGACTCCCCCTTCTTCCCTGCTAACTACACCGTTGAACTTAGGCCCTTCCTCAGAACCAGTAAAACTAGATCGGATCGGTCTAATCAATTGACCGATTGATACAAAACCAGTTGTCTGTCCACTCGGATTTATATTATTTAATCGAATCAGTTAAGAATTAATATTATTAACATGAATTATTGAATTGTATTATGCGCAGGAAATAGAACTAAAAGGAATGTTCTGATTGGAGGACTGTCTGGAGGTGGAGGTCTCCTCCTGCTTCTAACTTTAATATTGTTTTGGGTCAGAAAATCAAGAAACAATATTGCAGTTCCCCAAGGTAACATAATATAATATATTTTGTGGTTAAAATATAAAATAAAATCTCAATTATGTGATTAATTTTTTAGGGTAAAGTATTGTAATGGTCACTGATTTTTTCTAAAGCTTTCATTTAGGTCCCCCAACTTTTAAAACTTGCAATACAATCTCCCAACATTTAGTCCGTTTGTAATATAGTCTCCCAACAGTTACGTCGGGGACCATATTGTAAATGGACTAAATGTTGAGGGACCATATTATAAACGGACTAAATGTTGGGGGATTATATTGAAAGTTTTAAAAGTTGGGGGACCTGAATGAAATCTTCAGAAAAGTTCAGTGACCATTACTATACTTTATCCTTACTTTTATGAGATATCTTTTTCTATTCTACATATTTATTCTTTTTAGATAAAATTTATATAATTCTAAGATTTGTAGTTATGAATTATAGTTTAAATATATAAATACATAATTAAAAGAATAAATATAATTTGAGGGCTTCCTATACATTTAAGCGTGATAAAAAAGAGTAAAAAAGTTTTGAGGACTTAATTGTTAGAAATTAAAGCTAAATGGATTTGATTTGTAAAGTTGAAACTTAAAAGGATAAAATAAATGATTGGAAGCCCAAGAAAAAGTTAAAAAAAAATATTAATAAAAGAAAAAACGAAAAATAGTCACGAAGAAGGAACATGACAGCCAGCCACCACTCTTAATCGATTCACGATTATTATTATATATTTTCTCCATTTATTACATAATTATTTATTCAATCATCAATCAAATTTCTCCTTTAATTCAACTCACCGGAAAACAGCTGCCTTTTTTTATCACCGGAACACATTTCTTCTCCTTTTCTCTCTTCTCATAACAAACTTTGACTTCAATCAAATTTCAATGAACAAGAACTTGCTTTGAAAAAGAAACAGAAATTTCCTTTTTTGGGTTTTGGTTTGGGGTTTTAGAAGAAAAGCAGAATGGGATGTGCGGGATCGACGCCGGCCAAAGGAGACGGTGAGGCTTTTTGACTTTGTTTGCTTTGGTCCTTTTTTCTTGTTTGGTTGCTACGAAAATCGTTGGGAAAGTTGGAAGCTTAAAGAACAATGACAACATCTGTGAATTGTTTGAGCTCGAGAAAACATTGAGCTAAACTAGTCAAATTCTAGATTAACTGGTAAAAGTTTCTGATATTTTCTAAGCAGCTAAAAGGCTGCCGCTTGAATTTCATCTACTTGTTTATTTTTGTTTCAGAAAAAAAAAAGGAAAAGAAAAATGGGTCTGAGAGTCGTTAAATTTGAGATGATTATTGGAATGTTTGATCATTAGCTTGCTATTAGAACTAAATTTGTTTCCCAGCTGTTCTGAATTTTCTAATGTTTTCCATTCAGCTCTAAAATAAAGAAATATGGCATTTTGGAGTTGCAAGAAACTGAATTGTTAATTTGTTTATTACTCTGCCATTTTGCTTTTGTATTGAGATTCAATATATGTAAATTTGGAGATCAATTATCAAATTATGCAACAAAAAGAGGAAGAAGAATAAGGAGGGGTAAAAGGCCTTCGCTACATGACATGGGCTATATTTAATTATATTTTCATTCGTGTTATCGTAATATGTATATCGGTGGATCAGCTTAGCATAATTCATAATCATATAGGAAACTTTGCCTCGGTCCGAAGAAGGTCTCAGTTTGGGGTGAGGAGAAGGGATTGTAGGTATTGGATTCTAATCTCGAACTTGCTGAATTCCGCCTCTTAATGGTGGCTATATGAATCCGATGAATTAAGCTCCGGATTCATATCATGTGGGAAAATTTTATCCTTGTAGTCTGAGCTCCGAGCATGCTATCTTCAAAACAAGTAGTGCTTGTGTATCTTGGTGGTTAGTTTCTTGTTACCATCTGTTAACTAATTAACTAATTCTTCCTGGTAAACATGCAATCTGAACTCACTCTTCTAGATTTGCATTTGAAGCTTATGTGTAGTAAATGACACAGTGAACTCTTTTGGATCCAATAGGGAATGTGAAAAAGATCCGGAAGCCAAAACCTTGGAAACATCCTCAGCCGATAACGAAGTCTCAACTTGTGCAGATGCGTGAAGAGTTTTGGGACACCGCACCTCATTATGGTGGAAGGAAAGGTAATTGCTACCTATAACATAGAACCACTAATGATTCTGTTACTAGAAATCAACTGTTAGGTTCTATGCATAAGATTACGAGTATCTATCCATGATTATCAATTTTGTAAGTGAGAAGAAATTTTGTTGATCTTGAGTTGACCAAATAGAGAAAACTTTTCTTTTTTACATAATGAGTCTGGGGAAACTCAGAAAATGCTGAAGCACTGAGTGAATGATCTTATAAAGGCAACTAACCCACCAATATGCTTAGCTAGTCATGTGGGGATCTGTTTTTATGGAAAACTGAATTAGACTGAATTGAGTTATGTCCTTTCAAGTTGGTTCTGAAGTCAGACCCGGGATTGTAAATATAAAATCATAACTTAGATACTTGGATTCATGCAGTGATGTGTATTCTTGTACATCCGTTAAGCTCCTCGTCCCCCATATGTAACGTTAAGAGCTTGGATTATCTGAAATATTCCTTAAGAAAGCATGGGAATCAACTGAAACTGAAAAGTATAGACTGCGCAGGCCAACCCTTTCACTAATCAGGCTACTTTCAATTTTTATATCCCAGAAGGAAAATAAAAGGAAAACCGAGACAAAGATGTGAATGAACAGCTGAAAATCTTGTGATTTTGGAAATTTAGACCGATCTTGGAATACAAACCAGTCCGTTATAACATGAATTCTGAGAGGGTTTAACTATACATTAAAGATAACTTGTTTTAGTGTTGATTGATGAAAGTAGAGTTATTAATGGGAACTCAAGGTCTCATTCGAAGGTTCCCCGGGTATGTGATTGTCAAACTAAACATTGGTATTTAGGAGATTCTGATAGCAGTGTCAATTCCCTTCCCAGTTAAATACGCAGGCAGAGTAAGTTAAACCGAGTGAAAGATGACATAGTTTATAACTCTTATGCCACTGGTGTTTTAGGAAAACAGACTTTTTGGTTACACTTTAATCAAAACCAGGTCTTACTGAAAGCTTACAATGTTATTTTGAAAATCAGTAGACTAAGTACGAACTCTCAGTACCTAGTGACAGCAGTTTAGATTCTAATTGTTGACTATGGTAGTATGATTGCAAGATGGATGAATGTCTTCCAAGGGAGGAAAATACAGAAATAGGATATGATTTTAAAAGAAATCAAAGAAAAGAAGGGGAGAAACTTAGGGGAGTTTAAATGCAATGGAGAAGAATAGAGAGAACCAAGTAAGAAACTTCAAACAATAAAACCATTTTAAGAACAATTAGGAGTAAATATCACATGCTGTATGTTGTCGATTTCTTTTCTCAACAAGAAATCTGGGTTCTTTGCTAAAATGCTATGAAGTTTTACCGTGGAATTGAAACATTAGAACTATATGATTGAAAGTGAATTCAACAAGTATGGTTTTCTTAATAACCTTCTACTTCTGGTAAAGCATTTTTACTTTTATTCTGCATAATGTAATTAGTTTGCTTTTCTTATCATGGATTTGGATCGTAATTGTCAACTTCGTTGACACTAGAGATCTGGGATGCACTTCGAGCTGCTGCCGAAGCTGATTTAACTCTTGCTCAAGCTATTGTGGACAGTGCAGGGGTCATAGTGCAATCTGCTGATTTAACTGTTTGCTACGATGAAAGAGGTAAATCTACTTTGTTGAATCAAACATCGATAAATGATTAACCTTTTGAGCCGCCTTCAGTACCTCTACTATTCAACCTCCTTGAAAATATATAACTTAGCAAGCACCACATTTTCCAGCTTGAAGTTTATCCTAACTTTTCCAACTCTTTTTTACAGGTGCCAAGTATGAACTACAGAAGTATGTCTTGAGTGAGCCAACCAACTTGATCCGAGAGAGTTGAAAATAGAGAGAGCACAAAATGCAATGAATGCAAAGGTTGAACGTAAATCATGTACATTCATCTTCTTTGAAACCCTTTATAAACTTTAGGGCCGCTCGTTTAAGTTCTGTTTTAACTCGTGTTTACTTTCGATGTCCACTAGGTTGCTGTAAGTTTCTCTGATGAAAATGATAACATCGGTTTGAATCAAGAAAGATGTCAGAGTTTTCCTCTGGGCATTGATAGGCAAAAGGTTGTTTATTAGGCTTTTAATGTAGAAATGGTTGTCGTTTGACCATTGTTTGAACTTGGAAGACTATGTATAACATTTTAACTAAACGAATTAAGTATACCGAATCGAATCAACAGGTAATCTGCCATGAAAAACTATGGTATGTGACGTAAAGAGAAAGAAACAATAAATTTTTCACATGCAACTTCAAAATTTTGTTTGTATTATTTTCTTTTGATGCAAGCTTCAAATAACTGATTTGAAAGGTTGATTTTCCATTCACAATCTTTGCTTTTGATATCAGCTTAAGGGAAGGCTCTACTCGAAAAACCGATTTTTTTTTACTTGACTTGACTTGAAAAAATTTAACTCGAATTGATTTCGAGTTGTAATTTCATAAATTCGTCTCGAAAAATTTTATGTTTAAATCGAGTTGTAAAATATAACTCGAATAACTCAAAATTTTTAGTAATTAGTGGATTAATTTTCAAGTTAGAGTCGAAGTTTAAGTCAAGTCCCTCGATTTTGTATGGTATATGTAAGTTAAATAGGAAAAATAATACGAAAAAATATATATGAACTGTATATGGTTATAAAACACCATTTAAATTGGAATGAAATAATGTCATAATATTGTAAATATTTACAATAAAATTTAAATAAACTCAAAAATTTGACTCGAATTGACTCAAAAAATTTCAACTCAACTCCGAGTTATAAAACGGGACTCGTCAACTCAAATAACTCAAAATTTTGTAACTCGATTCGATTCAACGCTCACACTTGACTGGTCGACATTGATGATGTTTACTTCTGGATATCCAAATTTTAGATTCCACAACCATGAATAATCTTTAATTTCATACTTCATATACTTATCTTTTCTCGATGTTAAAATGATAAAGAGAATTTTTTTTGTTATCCTTTCGGTTTTAGGGTTTCGTACTGATTAATCCGGAGCGATTCGTGTCACACAACTAGTTTTGGTATATGAATCTCCCAATGAGAATTTTCTACATACACAAAGACTCGAACTCATAACCTGTTTAAGCGATATTTAACTACTTACCCCTTAAATTAACCCATTGATATAAAGAAATAATTTTATACACAATTATATATATATATATATATATGTGGATTTTATTATTATTATTATATATAATATATTAATTAGACTAATATAATTTTCTTAACATAATTCAGACATATTTTGGTCACTAAACTATTATTTTTTCAAATCATAGTCGACCTTACGATTTGGTTTTATTTTGATCACTTACAGTTAAAAAAATTAAGAATGGTGTTGATATGTCATTTTTTAATTATTTTTTAATTATGACGTAACATTATCTTATGATAATATGTCAACATCACCGTTAATCTTTTAAAAATTAATGACCAAAACATAACAAAAATATAACATTAAGTATGATTTAAAATATATAATAATTGAATGGCCAAGAAAACTAAATAATAAATGGAGGACTGAATAACTATTTTACCATAGGGGACTATAGCCTAGGTAGGCTTGGACATAGGGTACTGAATAACTATTTACTATATTTAATTTAATTTAATTACTCGATTCATGATGATCGTAAATATACCCGTTGAAAAATATTTTAGAAAGAAAACAAGAGTTTATATGACAATTTTTCTTACATAATGTATTTGAACAATTGATTTTCTCATATAATGAGATTTAAAAATTATTATTTCATTTAGATTCATCACTATAATACATCATAGAAGACGTTTGGATTATCTGATAATTTTTCAATAGACATTGCATGATGTCTTTAAAAAGACACCATTCAAATTGTGACGTTATTAACTTGTGTGCATGAATGCATCATAGGAAAAAATGTTAAATTTTTTGTAGGTCTTCATGAAGACGTCGAATGACAAGTTTTTTATAATGCTGTAGAAACCACTCTATTTAAGAAAATAAAATGAGAATGGTCATTACACGTGAATTTTTTTTCTACAATATTATTTAGATAATTTGGCCTAATTTATATTTAATATAATTTTATTATTGTAAAAAATCTTTAAACAGGGATGGTATGAATGTGAGCACCAAACTAACACATGAGTGAATATTTAAATGAATTTGTCAATAATCGACTTTTAGATATGCGATTTAAAATAGATATATTTATAACTAGTAAGTTTATATTCATTTATAATCATTAAATTTAAATAAATAAATAATTTAGATTTAATTAACAATTATAACACATAAATAAATACCTTCGGGTTAGAGTTTAGAATTTAAGATTTAAAATTTGAGATTTGTGGCTCAGGGTTTGAAGTTTAAGATTTTGTATTTAATAAGGTTTAAGTTTGAGATTTAAGGTTTAAAGTTTATGGGTTTGGGTTTAAGGTATATATATATATATTATTTTATTGTGAGTTAAAGAAAAATTTGTTTATAAATTATTTTTTTTTATAGAAATCTGCTAGTTTTACTTAAAATACAAAATATTTAAAATTACAATAAAGATTTATAAGCATAACTGTAAGCGTAAACTAAATTATAATTATGATATTTTCCTATAATCATTGACACAAAAACTAGTCACTTAAATCACACAAGAAAAAAAAAGAAATGATAAAAAATCTAACAAATGCTCGAACAAAATAAAGATACAAACAAATCTGACTGTATCGACAAACGAACCACAAAAGGAGATATAGCTACTGAAGACCATCGAAAATCACAAATCAGAGTCAAGTGACGTGAGAAAACTATTCAAGAACGCAAAACATGTATTCAAATTAATCCGATGGTCCAAAGCAGGGAAGATCAACATGATAACAAAAAAATGTCATCTTGATCAGTTGTGGCGATGCCAAATCCAATCTTGAGAAAAAAGATAAACGAAAACAACGATAAAAAAAATCGTAAGTTACCAAAAGACAGAGAAAAACATGCCACAAAGGCATAGAAAAACAACGGCAAAAAAAGGTAAGCTATTGAAAAACAGAAAAAAACGTGTCAAACTAATAAACCAGAAAAACGAGAATGTATCTCAAAGGGAATTAAATACTGTTCAATTCTCATACATGAAATTGATTCATTACTAACTTTCAACTAAAATTAAATTAGCTAAGCATGATATGATTGATCATACTTAATATGTTTGCGAAAATTGATAAAAGTTTAAGTAAAAACAAAATTGCAAGAAGGAAACTTTTATAAAATAAAAAATAAAGTAATAAAGTAAAAATAAAGATAAAATGATAGATAGCTCCTAAGCCGGTTATTTATAAACTGCTAAATTCCTAAAAATAACAAGAAAATAAAATGAAGATAATCCAAAATAATTCAAATTGAAAAATAAAATCTTTGAAAATCTCCTCGGATTATGCTGACTAGGCAAATTGAATTTTTTTGTGTCTTCTAAAAATTATCACGTTAATTTTGCGTAGTGTCCATGTTTATAGTCGTGACTAGAAAATAAAATAAAAATTACAGAATATACCATTTTACTGTCAATTTCAATAGACAAATTAGTGCACAGAAAATAAATAAAACTCATTCAAATCAGCAACGAAAATTTTATAAAGTAAGAGAATTATCAACAACAACAAAAATGTCAATTTCAAGCACTCGAGTACAAAAACTCTCCAATTCTTTGCACTTTCAATGCCTTACAAATCCAATACTATCTAATTATGTTTTGTGAATTAATAAAATAATCACGTGCAACAATTTTAATATACGGTTAATTTTAACCCTCCCTTTCAGACATTTTTTTCTCTCCACCTCCAAATTAAGCAAAAACTTCTGCTTAAAGCCTTAAATTTGCTGCAGATATTTTAGTTTATCTATCTTATTCGGTCTTCTCTTGCTCTTCTTTATACTCCCTCGCTTTGCCTTTGCTGAATTCTCTACATCCTATCATCGGTTTCAAGTTTATGTAGAAACCCCTTTTGTCCTCTCTTAAAACAGATCTAACTTAGATCCCTTGTTTTACTTTTTTTTTCCTCCTTATTTGGAGCTCAAAAGATGCAAATTTTGATGTTTTCTTTTGGAAAAATTGGTGATTCAAGCTTTTGAATTGTTTAATTATCGTATGAATCCTTGAATTTCGGCTTTACAGAAGCTTTATTTGTTTTTTTAATGTATATTTTAATCCGCTGGAAGTTTAATTATCGTATGAATCCTTGAATTTTCCATTGAAAGGTTGGGAAACTAAACAGTTCAAGGCACGCTGATATTTAAGCTTCAGCTTGAAAATTTCAGTTTTTATTGACTGTGAACGTTTTAAGCTTTGGGTTAATTTCTTATCCACTGGTTGGGTCCTCAGAAGGATCCAATTTTAAATTTTCTCACTTAGATTGACTACTTCATGTCAGTAGAAAGGTCATTAGAAGCCTGGGAAGAGGTCCAACGCCATGGACAGGACCTTGCCGATAGGATAGCTCAAGGTTTCACTGGCTTAATCCATTCCCACATGAACCCACCTTCCTTTTCATGGCCAACCCCTCCAAAACCCATGCTTTTCGACCTGGAATTCGCCTCCCAATCCTTTGTCAAAAAGGATTTTGGCCTTCCCATTGACAAGTCAACCATTTTCGACATCGGTGATATCGGGAACACGATCGGCCGAGTCGGGGCTGATTTCAGTGCAGGCTTGAATGGGCTAGTGCAGCAGTTCTTCAGGAGTTTGCCCATCCCCTTTCGCGCCGAGGAGAGGACGGTTTTTCCGGTTAGAGGTGATATGATTTTAAAACGGCAGAAGGCTGAGGTAGGTGGCAATGATATGGAGGGTTGGGTGGGGTTTTCAGATCCATATAAGGATTTCGGGTTCGTCGAAAAGGAGAGTGGTTCGGATGGAGTTGAGGATGAAGAGGTTTCAGGGTTCAATTTGAAGTCTGCTGGATTACTTGGGAGACCTCAGGTAAACAAGCAAGTAAAATGAGGATCTTTGAGGATGGTTAGGGGCTTGAATTATGGATTTGATTTGCGTTAAATACTTGAAGAATTACCATGTTCAGTTGGAAAAGGGAAATTGTCTAATTGATGCATAGGCTGTGTTTTTGGGCATTTTTCTTTGTAATCAAAAGGTTTAGAACTGATAGTAGATTAGTATTTAGATAGCATTGCACCATTGCTTGTGATATATAATAGACATCTATTTTTAGTTTTGGACGCACCATTACTTGTAAATACATCTGTGATTGTTCTTTTGCAAGTTCTAATCTAGCGTTAAATACTTTATAAAGACGTCTGTTTGACGTAATGTTGGCTATGATAAGTTATGAATATTTCCCCCTTCATATGAATTGAAATGATGGGATAGTAGCAGGTTAGCTGTTTGTTAGTTTTGTCTTCCTTTCACTCTGCTGTTACAGTGTTAATGACTAATTCATTTCGCTATGGTTAATCTTTTGTTGGCAGCAGGGGATGATAAATATTACCTCAACGTATGAGAGTAGAACACGAAATTTAGAAAGTTCTTTGGTTGCAAGGGGAGACCTATGGAGAGTGGAGGCATCGAATGGAAGTTCTACATCAGGGAGTGACAACTCTTTGTTTCTTCTTCAGCTTGGACCAGTACTTTTCGTCAGGGACACTACACTTCTTTTACCAGTTCATCTATCAAAGCAACATTTGCTTTGGTACGGCTATGATAGGAAGGTATGGCAATAGTTTCATGGAATAATTGTTGGTAGCAGTAGGATCTACATATAGGAAATAGGAATACCAAGAAATTTGCTTTTATGTTCTATGAAACTTAATTCTGCTAGGCCTTATGGAACATAACTTTTGAGAGTTATGTTTGATGTGATAATACTATTAAGTTTATGTAGATTGTTGTCCAAGGATACATCATTTGGTATTTAGTCTTATGCTTATAATTTACACTGAATCAATCAAATATAAGATGAAACTATTTCAACTGTCTCCCTTTTCTCCGTTATCCTTGTGTATTGTTTTTTGTGGTGTGGAGATGCCAGGATGGCTTGTGCATTTCGTAGCCTAGAATCCTCTGATAGCTATTATAGTTGGCTTTTACAAAATGTTACAAGGTTCTCGTATCGTATGATTATAATAGACGAGAATATAGTTCTCATATAGAATATAAAGATGCTAAGGGAATTTGATATAAAATTCCTAGGAATCTGGACAATCAAATATGTTTTGGTCTGAACTGATCTAGGACCTTGCTTAAGTTGGAAGACAAAACTTTAAGGTTAAGTTCCATAATAAAATTCTATTCTTATTGTTTTTTTCTCCCCCCCCCCCTCTCCAACACCCCAGTTTTAAGTGTTCAGGTCATTTAGGCAACTTCGTACATCATTAATTCTTGCCGATAAGATGCACTTAATCATTTTACATGGCCATGCTTATATTGAAACCTGAAAGCAGATAGTATGGTTTGAGCATTATGTTCTTATGTTTCTCAAATTGTTGTATTTCGTTCTATGCTGATAATTTCTTGGTTGCAGAATGGAATGCATTCTCTTTGTCCAGCAATATGGTCAAAGCATAGGAGATGGCTATTAATGTCAATGCTCTGTCTTAAGCCTTTAGCCTGTGTAAGTTGATAATGATTTTGAATCCGTTTCTACAGTGTTTATGCTTTTGTTTCAACACACTGAATTTCCAAAATACCTGTGTTTTATCTAGTTTTGTTGCAATTAGATTATCGATTCGAATTGCGTTTGTTGATTCAGTTAGTTAGGACTTAGGAGTGGTTACCTTACTGAAAATAAAATATTGATATTCTGGCTGTCCATTGAAGATGGCAATTTACCAAAAATGGTGACACAATTTAATTTATCTATTTGACTCTTCTTGCACACTAAAGATCACCAAAATTTTAAACAGCCTTCATAAGAAATAGAGAACTATGCTAATTAGATGAGATAAGCATTAGAACTTTAGCTTTTTTTAGTTAATATTTGAGGAAGTTTTATGTTGATTTTCTAGCATAACCACTCCCTTCTTGAGTTCTTTCTCAACTCTTCCTTCTTTACGCAGTCATTTGTAGATTTGCAATTTCCAAATGGACAGTTCACGTATGTATCTGGCGAGGGGCTAACAACAAGTGCTTTCCTACCTCTTTGTGGGGGACTTCTTCAGGCACAGGGGCAATATCCAGGAGAAATGAGATATAGCTTCTCCTGCAAGGTCAGTTCCTGATCTTTTACCAGCATTAACAGTGAGCAAAGAAGTAATTAGGATTTTGTTAAACGGTTCCTTATCTGGGATTTGTTATTATGTTCTGGGTACATTTTATGAGTTCTGAATTTATTGTGTTGATATTTTGTCAGAATAAGTGGGGAACCCGTATTACACCAATGGTGCAATTGCCAGACAAATCATTTACGCTGGGTCTTTCACAAGCCTTGGCTTGGAAGCAATCGGGGCTCATGATGAGGCCATCCATTCAATTTAGGTAAGATTTCTACTATTTTTTTTTTTGGAATAGGAGATTTCTTCTACTTACAAGTCATGTTAAGGGATGTTTCTTATGTTTCATACACTTCCTTTGAAACACTTCATTAGACCTTATAAGTCAATGTCTACATTTGTGATCAGTTTGTTTCCAACGTTTGGTGGAAGTAATCCGGGGTTGCGAACTGAAATTATGCACACGGTGAAGGAGGATCTCAATCTGATTTGTGGTTGTGCTCTGACGACACATCCTTCTGCGTTTGCATCAATATCGGCAAGTTATCCTATTGCGGAATCTTCTTTGAAGCTCAATTCATATGTTTAGTCTGTTATGTTTGGATTTGCAAAATTGTGAAACTGTGATTCTACAACATATCAGTCCTAGCCAACTTCTAGAATTGTATTCTTTTAATTATTTTTTCCTCAAGTGTTCTTGATGGTGGTGTTTTCCAATTCGATGCACTCACATCGTCATTTTATCTACCAATCATGCAGTTTGGACGCTCTAAGTGGAATGGAAATGTCGGGAAGTCAGGGATAGTAGTAAGAGTCAACACACCACTTTCCAATGTTGGCCGCCCTTCATTTTCTGTTCAGATAAACAACGCCATTGAGTTCTGATCGTTTGACTTCCAAAGCCTGCCGTTGAAGTGTATATAGAGCCCCGGTGCGCCTAAAATAAGTGATACATGTGAATATCGGAATGCTACTTGTGTTATTACCGTATTAGATCTCAGATCCAACTTTGGAGATTCATGGTCTTTTCTGGATGGTTTTTGCCAGAGATCAGGTCAACAAATTTTGGTTTCTGTTTCTGTTTTAGCCTTTCATTTGTTATAGATCTAGATGTACCATATACCTGAACAAAAATAATGTAACATGGTTGCTTGACTTGCTTCCTGTTCCTGAAATGAAAAACATACAATGGTTGTTCGTTTCTACAAATCATATTTCATTTGTGGTCAGTGTGGTGCATATTTTAGCATGAACATCAGGTGAAATCAGAACTAGACATCGAAATACATGTTCTCGACAGACCAAAACAAAATGATACGTGTGGTACTCTAGGCTCGGTAAGTGTGGCAGAACATAGCCAGGCCGATTGCCCTTGACAGCTACGGTAGGTAGCTTGCAATTTGCATACACACCATCTCCATGGTTAAGCTTGCAATAAAAAGGCTTTGAAATGTGTGTCACAGAGCAGTTTATCCTCACCCTTTTCACCTACAATATTTAATCACTGATGAAGCCATCACAAACGTCCAACAGGATCATAGCTTTTTCCTGGTTAGTTAACCAACGAATTGAACCATCTCCAAGCTTTTGGCATCCCTAGGAAATATCAGTTGTAGGCTTGTCATCATCATTCCCTCGTTATAAAATTCAATAATACAGTTGATTCATAGTCCCCCCAAGTCCCTTAGTTAAACTTTTTTCCATATTATAGTCATGGATGAACAGAGTTTATCCGATATTAGAAATAATGCAAACTCAGAGGTTATCTGATGTGTTAAAATGTTGTCTAATCAGGTTCTTGGTAGATGGAGCTGATATGGTGTTGACAGATGCAAAATTTTCCAATGGCCTTAATTCTTCTCTAGGGAAATGTAGTTTTCATGCAAAAAATGAGAAAACCAATTGCATTGATTCATGGAAACATGAATCTGTCAAAGCTGAATTCCTTCTGAACTTGATTATTTTCTTCCAGTTCTTATGATCAAACTTGTGGGGTTTTAATTTAATCTTCTAGTTACCCTTTTCACATTTCCAATAAGGTTTTCTTACTTTGTTTTCATGTCTTTGATGTTTCCACTACAAGCTGTGGCAAATCAAAGGTTATTTCATGAGAAAACTGTTGAGAACTATGTTGGATTAAACTAGCAAATTTGTTAAACCCAAAGCTAAGAGCTCAAAGGGAATTTGGCATTAATGTTTGGGGTTGCCTTGTTAAGGGCATCCTATGTTTGTTTCATGCTTGTTGGATTACTGGTGTCAGGGTTTCTTCTTGGGGGTTTCATCATGCAATGCCTGCTGGTGAAACTATCCAAAAAAACATAAACCCTGAATTTCGATTACACGAAACCAACCCCACCGCACCGTTACTGTCTTTAGCCGGTGTGGGAGATCCTTCCAGCATCATTTCAAAGGATGATATAGACACGCGTCGTTATGGAATAAGTAGAATAGTGAGAGTAAGGGTCGATCCACAAGGACTAGGAGTTTGACGATTTTCTCGCTTTTGATATGATTTCAGGGGTGATTTGTAAAAGAAATTAGAGGGAGATTTTGGAGAATTAAAGCGAAGTAATAAAATTGATCGAAATAAAATAAAATAGTAAATAAAAAAATTCAATTGGTAAAAATCAATCTTGGGATAAAGCTTTTGCCTCGATTTAAATTTGAACACGAATTAGATTTTACCTTCGAGCTCATGCCGGTTACAGTCTATAGAGTCCAACCCCTATAACTTGTTTTTCTCTCAAATGAATCGAGAATCAAAAATCAATTTTTAGATCTCGACTCTTTGAGAGTTAATAGCGGCAATCGCTTATTAATTTAACACCATTAAATTCTGGAAAAACATGTCTAGGATTCTATCGTCTCAATTGAGAATCTAACCCGATTTCAATTTCCATTAGCGGACCGCCGCTAAGTGTGTTCACAGGAAGTTGAATGTGCCACTGACCGATCATTCCTCCCAACTATTAATCGAAAACGAAATTCAATTCCAACGTGCACTTTTTGAAATGAAATCGAATTGATTATAAAAGGATGGTCGATTACCGATCATTGATTTCCGAAAACTGAAAAATGTAACATTTGAGGGTATGAAACGCTTTTCAATTCTCACGACTTAGAATCGAGTCATTGCTCTAGCCCTTGGCTATAGAAAACTTAGCTAAGCATGGTAGAAATCATACTTAACATTTTGAAAGAAAAATAAAGTAACTTGAAAAATAAAAAGAAAGAAAAACTTTTATAAATCTAAAGAAAGAAAGAAACAAGAATTGAATGAATTCTGAATGAAAATCGATGCTTAGATGTTTACCCCAATGGAGTATTTATAGTCCTCAAAAAATCTAGAAAAAAATATTCAAAACAAAGGACAATTCCTAAAAATAAAAATAAGAAAAATCCGACTTTAGAATTAAAATTCGGCTAAGTCTCATTCTCTACGCCACTGCTGATTGGATCTTCTAGAAGCTACTGACTAGGCCTTCTAGAAGCTGTTGACTGGGCACCACATCACCTTCCACGTCAGTTGTCACGTCATCTCCATGTCAGCCACCACATCATCGCCAACTCAGTTGTCACATCAGTCGTTGACTAGATTCCATTTCGGGTGTGTAATGTCCCAAGTCGTGCCCTCTAATCCGGCCATGAATCAAGAAAAATAAAAAATTACACGATTTTATTGTTCTTAACATAACTTCCGGAATTCAATGTCTTGTATCGAAAATGAATGAAAAGACCCAAATTAGCAATTAAAATTATCTAATCAAAGATTAATTAATCATAAAAGAATGTATAATTTAAACACTAATCATATATGAAGTCCAACAGGAGATCGGTCCACGATTTATCCCATATAATCATCGGTTACAGCACACTGTTTCATTGACGGTGCCCAAATCCGAATAAAACCAGAAACCCGGAGTCTTCCGGGTACTAATTATCACCTTTGTTGCATTTGAACAACTTCCATCGTGATTCTCACCAAGCATAGCTTCATATTTGCAGGTGAGGGTTGAGCTTCTATCTGCCAATGGCAAAGCCACTGGTACGTCAAGGTATCCACGTATGCTTCGATGCAAGAGCCAAACTCTCTGTTTCGCAGAAACCGTCATCAACAGCATTCCTCGCATGACAGGTCACCGATCCGAATCCCAAGTTCTGAACGTCAAAATGAATGAATCCACCGAAGGACTCGAGCCGACCACGTACATGAAAGTGATACTCGAACAACGAGCAGAATTCCAACCCGGCGCAGGCATCCCCGAAGTTTATGCTGCATCCGTTGCTCTCGAATCCGAGCTCCCTCGCTTGAAACAGATGATTTGGAATTGGAGGAGAACCATTTTTGTATGCATCAGTATCATGTTGTCCCTTACTGAGTCGGTGACGGTCCTGGTGTTGTACAGATCGATGATCACCCCTAATGGGATGCCATGGATTGGTTTATTTAGTGAAAAAGTGGTTTCTCAATCAAAATTAATGTCTTGGTATAAAATAAGCAGACAAGCAGTTAAAGATGATAGGTTGAAAGGGTTTATTTTTTTCTTCAAGAAGATGAAACAAAGGAAATAACACGTTTTGAATCTGAATTATTCAGCCAATGTGTTCCGGTTGATGACTAACACTTCAAGGTAAACCAAGATGGTATAATCAATAATGTTGACATAAACAAGACTGGCATTTCTTTTACCATGTGATTTATAGGTCAAATGTTAATAAGGGTAAACTACGCAGTTAGTAACCAAACTATTAGTTTTGGTTTGTTTTAGTACCTAAACTTTAATATTTTTTTTCAAAATCATACTTAATATTTAATTTTCATTTCATTTTAGTATTTCGTTGTTAAAAACTTAACGCGTAGAATATTTATATGTTTAATATTATATTATATGTTTAAAACTTTTTAAATAAGTATTTCTCGATTTTTAAATTATATCTAAAAAGATATCGAACAAATTTTTAGTAGAATATTTGTTGTTTGAAAATATGGTTTTATATAAAATCTGGGTTCTATGAGTGTTTATAAACAAAGTTCACAGGCTAAAATTTTTATTTAATTATTTATAAATTAGCGGACCCTTTTTCCCATATATAATAGGGTAAAGGAGATGTATGATAGTAGGCTGCCCCTAACGCCAGGTTGAGAGCAGTTTCCGTGGGAGACTTCCGATTATGAAATGACCTCTATGAGACTCGATCCCACGACCACAAGATTAAGAGCCTTGTGCTCTACCAACTGAGCTGGACGGACATTTCTATTTAATTATTTATATTTAGATTAATTTCATGTGAAATAAAATTTAGTGAATTATACTATTGTATCCATAATTAAGTAGTAATAATTTCTTTTTCAACCCAAAAAGAAATTTGCTCAAGCATCTGGAAAGCGCTTCTCAAAGCCCAATTTCATATGTGGTGGTCCAATGTGAAAGCGCACGTCACACAAATGAAAATTGGTCGTGGGGATTTCGCAGGAAGCCTTAAACCCAGAACTTTGAGCTGATTTTCCCCCCTCTTTTTCTTCTTTTGAGGTGATATTTTGTAAGACTACCTTACTGATAGAAAGTAGCTGCTTCAAAGTTCTGGGTCAGCTTTTTTCTTGTTAATCTTTCCTTTCAGCTCAACTTTCTCGAATTTGGGTTTTCTGGGAGTTTATAGGATCATTGATTTGTTTCTAATTTCCATTGATTGAGTTCGCTTCAATACTTTCAGATGAATTTCCTCTTTTATTTCTTTGATAGATGGTTAAGTAAGATAGTCATTGTTGCCCCTTCTTTGAATAAATTGTATTGAGAGAAGAAACTGGTGAAAAATAAAGGCTGTGCTATTAGGGAGGATGAGAAGGGTTAAGTTGAAAATTTGTTAATCCAATTGGTCAATTGATTATTAAATTTAACCCTTGGATCAACAAAGCTTCCATCTTTATCTCTTTCCATCCATCTTGAAGTCTAATGTTCATTTAAGGGAGGGAAATGGGAGGTATAATGTGAGCTAGCCTGGTGATTTGGTTTGTATGTATTTTGAAATCACTGTGTTAGTTACTGGAAGTCTGGAATCATTAGGGAAATGGTTATGGAAAGGTCGGACACTTGTTTCACAAACTTCCCCGTATGCCTGTCAGAAGTCTAGACAGAACCCTATTGGCAAGAACCCGAGGGTATATCCCCAAAATGTGGATCTTCCACCGGTACTGCCTACGAAAAAGAAGAAACCTTATCCTATTCCTTTTAAAGAGATCCAGACTCCAGAGAGCTGCGAGGAAGGATAAGAAACTTGCTGAAAGGGGGATCGAGAAGCCACTTGAGCCCCAAAAAAATGGATTACTTGTTCCTGAGCTTATTCTTGTTGCACACGAGGTGCTAGATGCATGGAAAGTCTTGATTAAAGGCCTTGCACAACTTTTGCATGCCATTCCTGTTTATGGTTGCAGGCAAATTGTATTATATATAGTCTGCAGTTATGATGTTGCTGTTGCCTCCTTGAGATCTGAATATTTTGAAACAATTATTGCATCTTCGAGTTTTCATTTGTTTTAGCTCTATGCAGTGAGTGCTCTGAAGTTCATGTGGCTCATAGTGGTCATAAAATTCAGGACTGCAAAGGTCCAACTAGCTCAAAACGCCGTGGTTTACATGCATGGGTGAAAGGTTCCATCAATGACATTCTAATTCCCATAGAGTCATATCAACTTTATGATCCTTTTGGTTGGGGCATCAAGCACGAAACACGGTTTGATTATGATAGGATTCCAGCTGTTGTGGAGCTATGTATCCAAGCCGGTGTCGACATCCCAGAATACCCTTCACGACGAAGAACGAATCCCATCAGAATGATGGGAAAGAAAGTAATCGATCGCGGTGGATACGTCGAGGAACCTAAGCCAAGGCGCTCGGTGGATCCATCCTCATCCTCAATCGTAAATCTCGACACGTGCGGAGCCTGTGAGATTTCCACCACCCCGACCCGAAGACGTACCCGTAATTGCCCAGGAAACAATGAATGCACACGAGGTTGTTCGATCAGGTGTTACGAAATTGATGAAGCAGTACACGGTAAAGGCATGCGGATATTGCTCGGAGGTCCATGTAGGGCCATGGGGTCGGTCGGTGAAGTTTTCCCACCAAATTATGTGTGGCATGTTCAAGACCCAAAGGGGCCTCCATTGAGAAGTGCATTGAAGAGATACTATGGCAAGGCTCCTGCTGTGGTTGAAGTTTGCATGCAAGCTGGAGCTCAAGTGCCCAACAGATATAAGCCTATGATGAGGCTTGACATTATAGTCCCTGAAAGTGAGGAGGCTAGCTTAGTTACATAGTAGGTAGGATTTTTCAGGTTTATTCATAATCCATTTTTGGTGCTCTTTTGAACTTTGTATAATTCGTTCATATTCTTATTGTGATGTAACTAACCAAAGATGAAGAAGCCATATCCATTACTCTGTTTTATGTCTTTATAATAATCTGAAAACCAACGAATTGTGTAAATGTATATATAATTTATATGGTAATTAAGAAAGGTTTTTTTTGACGATAAATTTTAAATCTAATTCTAATTCTATCTAAAGGGGAGGGGAAGAAGGGTTCAAATATCTACATAATTTATATCAAGTGAATGCTTTTTATAATAATGATATATTTTTCGTATCAATAATATATTTTTAATGAATCTAGGGTGTTTATAAGGAGTAGTATTTATTTTAAAGATTTTCAATTTTTTTGATAATAAACATCCAAATGTTCTGCAGACTTTAGTACTCAAGATGAAATCTCTAGTAATAAAAGATGAGTTACCTGTTACCGACATTGACGAAGAAGAAAGAAGTAGACACGATGATCAGAGATACAATCGACAAGGTCCTGGTCCTCCGGTTCGGGCTTGCCGAAGACGTTGACTGTCACCAACTTGATGATATACTTGATAAGAATGCGCGTAAGGTTTCCAAATTCGCGACAGTGGCTTTAGTCGACATAGATTCCGAGGATGTTCAGGTTTACGTTAAGTATTTCGATATCACTCTGATTACTTCGACTATTTTCTTCTTCAATGCTCATCATATGAAGATGGATTCTGGTATTTAATTTTACCCCTTTATCCTTATGCATTTGTTTGCAATTTTAATTTATTTTAGGTTAAATGAATCGAATTCAGCTGTTGATTTGTTCCTTATTTGCTTTTCTCAAGTTAGCATGATTAACCAAACGTGCTTGTTTTTTAATTATGTTTGGAATTTGGATTCGATGAACTGTAATGACATCTCTTGTTTTCAAACAAAAAATTTGATCTCTGCATTAAGTTTGAAATATTTAGAGGCTAGTTCAGATTAGGGTTCTTCTGCTATGGATTAATGTTGCTTTATTGTGATTTAGGACCGCGGACCACACGAAATGGGTTTTAGCATTTCATGAAAAGCAGGACTTCATAGATGTTGTAGAGGTATGCTTTACATTAGCTCCTAAACAATTTCATGATCTATCAATCTCATTACTTTGTGAGTGATGTAATTTATTCATGCAACCATTATTGTTTATGTTATCCGTCGGACTTGATTACTAATCCTAGTTAACAATTCCTAGCCTGTTCGTCATCCGCCGCTGTCCAATTATTAAATGCACAATAGCTGATAAATTGGCATCGTTCAAAAAGCTAGGGAAGTGTGATTTATCTTGGTCTAGAAAGAACAGACATGGTTGAAGCTCCTGTATTCCACTTTTGACATGCCAGAATATGTACAGACTTGGTCGGCCGGATACAGCATAAAAAGTCAACAAATTTTTTAATTGGAAACTGCGATCGACAGTAAATTGTTTCAGAACAGAGAAAAGAGAAAAAAAAAACAAAGGAATTTCTGTCGTTCAAGCAACAGTGACTGGCTGGAGAAGGTGAAGAAAAGACCTCCCATGCTGTGTTGGTATTAAGAAATGGAATAATAAGAGACCCCCATACTGTATCTCAGCCATGTTGTTTCCTACACACACACACACACACACACACACATATATATATATATGTTTTCAAAAGTATCATGTTGGCATGTCTGTCTGTGCTTCAGTGTTCTTGGTTGTAAGCATCAAAAGTTAGGCTGTGTGAGCGTTAGAAACACTGAGCTTCCTTATAAGTAGTATCTAAGTATGTTCTTCTTGTTGTGAACTGTCTTCTTTGCTGTTTGTGCTAAGAAATCTTCTCCTCATGTTAGTTTTCATGGATAGGCAGTTGCTACAAAAGTAATAACTGCTGGTAATGAATTCTGGATTCCTACTTCTACGCTTATATTGACGTCTTCGCTTGGAGTTAATCTTCCGTATCTGACCTTGCAGGCAATATTTAGGGGAGCCATGAAAGGCAAGTTGATTGTTCATTGCCCTCTACCTCAGAACGAATACCGAGATATCAATTGCTATACAAGGATGTATAAATTTCTGGTTCTTCACACTGATCCTTTGAAACTTCGGAGTGTGTCATTGAACCCGCTGACGAATGATTTCAGTTCAAATATGGTAATGAAACAGCGTGCTTGATCCAGAGACAAAGGTATTAGTTGAAAGGAAGTCTTAGGTCTTAGGCTTCAAGGTTCGATCAATGTACCGAAACCAACAGTAGGTGTAACTAAAGATCATATCGTATGACTTAATTTTTGAACTCCAACCTTGATCCAAATCCGAACTAAAA